AGGCTTAAAGCAGCAACAACGCTACATATAAAAACTGATGATGGTGGAAAAATACACCGAAACGTATTTTGATTAATAAATAGAGACAATAAATGGCTGAAACCCAGGAATAGATTTGATTTGGAATTGAAACACAGTCAGGAAAGTAAATACAATAACAGAGATAGCAAACTCTCTTGGTTGGCCTTAAATATACCGACCTTAGGAATGGAGCTGGAAAATACAGGTGCCCCGGCACCGAGGAAGGCAAACGGTGATATCGCATCATCTTTCTTCGAGCCTCCAAATGATACTTCCGTTTCAGGGCCCGCCACCTACAATTCGTCATTAATCATCTGGCAAATTAGTTAAACCTCCACTTACTTTATCGGCTAAAGTCGCAAACGACAAGTTACCATCGCACTTCAGCACGGGTTCATCAGTTTCCTTGAAGTGAGTCGTCGAAGTCAAGCCAAAGGACATATTGGCTTCTGTAACTTTGGGCTCGGTCTTGTTGCCGAATATTGTTTGTCCGAATATATTACCAGACGATGGTGGGCGTGAGAATATGTTCCCTTGAGCCGGCGACCCGAATAAACTCGTTGCGCTCTGTAACCGGGAAGAACTCACTTAACATTGAGCTTTAAACGTTCAGGAAATGCTCACCGAAACTTGGGAAGCAGCCACATTTCCAAATATGTTATTGGTGGTAGCGGCAGGAGCAGTTGGCGAAGCGAATATGTTGGTGTTGGAGCTTTTACCAATGGGATTTGCGAAAATATTGGGGCTGGAATTTTGGAACAGGGTCGACGAGAAGGTGGAAGTTGGCTTCGTTGGGAACAAGTTAGTACTATTGGCCAATGGAGCCTCTAAAAAAACAATTAAACGTTAGAACACCGTAACAACCGATCGCAAACGGAACCTACGGGCATTCGAGTCGATGGCACTTGGAGTAGCCTTAGTGGTAGGAGCGAATATATTGGCCGTAATTGCTGCTGTGGGAGAGCCACCAAAGCCTGTTAAACCACTGCCTCCAAAGATACTGGGCGCCTTTTGTATCGGAAACCTAAAAACACATTCAATATTGAACAGAAGATTGACCATCAGACCAAACAGTTTTATTTCTTACCCGCCTCCTGTTGTGGCCTGCGGCTTTAGGGAATCGAAAGTGAAACTGGGCGTCTTAATTATGGAAGATTGCACGGAAAATGGTGCAATTGCAGGGGTTTCGGGCAGTTTGTTTCCTGAAGATGCTGTATTGGCAGCCATTACAAGAGCGGGAGACGTTATTTTCGCATCTGATGTAACAGCCCCCAAGCTGGGGCTGCTGAAGATTGACGGCTTCTGGAGTAAGTCTCTAATGCTTTCCGATTTGCTCGATAATGGAGTATTACCTGGATAAAAACCACAAATTTTTATTTCTGTTTTATACGGGACTATACACGATGATTAAAAAACATTGCTAAGTACCTGTAGGTGTCCCAAAAGTAAAACTGGTAGAACTGGGCGAAGCAAACACGCTTCCAGCTGACGAAGGAGTGCCCATGTTGCCCAACGGAGTTGAAAACAACGAAGTATTGGCGCTAGTAAATACGGATCCGACACTTTTGGGAGACGGTTTATCGACGAAGAGCACCTTCAAATATTCGTCATCTTTCTTGCATTGTTCACACGTGCAATCGGCGCGCTGCCTATGTAACAAGCAAAAATATCCTCAATTTAACTGCCGATTAAGCAGATAAAGTCTTTACCTGTATGCCATAAATTTAGGCGGCAGTCCTAGACGAGCAGCCTCTTGGATCTCTTCGGCAGTCACTTGAGTTTCCGATACGAATTCCACCTCGCATTCTGTTTCCTTAACTTGGTCGGCTTTCTTGTCTACCAACGTGCTTTCAGTGATAGATTGACTGGAATTCAGGCTCTCTAGAGCATCATTAATAGCTTTCTTAAACTCTTGAGCCACTTCGGCATTTTTGAACCTCAAACAGAACTGATCGTGACTTATTTCGCCTTCTGAAAAGTCCGCGGCATGGAATTGCCACGTTCTGTCGTCATCCTTGGGCATGTATTCCATGTCTTTTGGCACAGCATGGTTTAGGCAAATCTTGAGCACCTTTTCCCTACGCATCAGAACTCTGGAAGAAAATTGGGAATTAGGCCCTAATTGTTTCCATCGAAGTGGGGTGTACCTCAATTTGCCAGTGCTGAGGCACTTAAGAAGCTTCACGTCTCCTAAGCCTCTTTCCTTCCATTCACCCTCGGTGAACCTGTAAAGCTTTGCCCTTTGAGTATAGAGCACTTCTTCGTTTTCTTCGCCCGTTTTCACTTCAACTATATCAGGGAGGGGAATCACTGGCTTGAAGTTCACATTAGCTTCTTCCTCCTCTGCGTAACTCGCTGCAATAATAGAAAACAGTAATTCCAGTGAAACCAAATGAAGGACTTTCATACCATCTGAATCGTCCCCTGGTCCAGTGCTGATTCTGCGTGGGCTTCGGGCTTTGAATTCAAAATCGTGCTTTTGCGGGGAACCGAAAGTGAATTTCTCAAGTTTCGGAGTGGCCTCGGTAGCAGATGCTTCAGGCAATTTCCAGGAAAATGTGGTTTTGGTCGAACTAGCATCACCAAAGCCAAAAGCGGTTGTCGTTGTAGGCGCGTTTGGAGCTGAAGCTGTTGTAGTAGCAGCGGGCATGCCGAAGGTAAACTTGAATCCTGGCGTATCGAGGTTTATCTAAAAAAGGTTGTTTTAAAATCGGGGTTTCTACCAAAGTTTCTCACTCACTCCTTTGGGCGCTGCGGCTTCCTTCTTGGGCACCGAGTCGTCTTTGGGCGCATCGCAACTCAGACAGTATAAGCTGTTTGGCTCATTCCGCACATAACACTCTTTACATTCCCAGGAGCCAACTTTTGGCTTGAAGCTATCGCCGAATCCGGATAACACTGAATCAGATTTCGCTTCCGTGTTAGGAACACTGAACGAGAACTTTTGGATCGGCTCTTGCTTCTGTACTTGCACGGCTGCGTCGCCCTTTTGGCCGAGCTTGGGAGTTTCGCATGCAACGCACTTGGCCTTGCTCTCATCTTCATTGACTACATAGCAATTTTTGCATTCCCAGCTGCCTTTGGCCGGTTTAAACTTGTCGCCGAAGCCAACGGTTGCCACAGTTGCTGGCTCAGACTGTTGCCCGACCACCTGGTTGTTTTCATCTAGTGTTTGTTGGGCTTGTTCCACAGTGTTCAGAAACAGAGTGGCCATCTCTGCAGTCTTAAACCGAGCGGTGAACACTTCAGGAGTTAGAACACCTTCGGAAAAGTCCTGGGCGGACCACAAAACCGCCTTGGGATTAGCCGCGTTCTGCTTGAACGACATGTTCTTAAGCACTTGGTGATTCAGACACACCTTGTGGACTTGATCTCTTCGCATCACTAACCGCACTGTAGCTTCCTTTAGGATTCTAATATTTCCAAGTCCGCGCTCCTTCCACTCCTTTGCCTCGCCACTAGTGTCCATCCTGAACAGCTTGCAACGCTGCTCAAGCAGCACTTCCGCGTCTTCCTCGCCTGTTTTCACTTCAACCAGATCGGGCAGCGTTTCGATGACGGGCTTAAATTCTGCCGTCGGTACGAATTCCTCCACTTCGTCGTCCTCTTTTTGAGCCGCTGCCTGCGGCGATTGGACTGCTGCAGCAAATTTGACCGGACTGGGAGCGTTTTCAAAAAGCCCCTTAGTCGCAGTCAAAGTTCCAAATTTGAAACCTGCGAACGGACTCGGCTGGTTGGGCTCCTTGGCAACTTCCTCCACTTTCGGGGCAGCTTTCACTTCAGCATCAGTTGGCTTGAAAACTGGCGGGCTGATGAACTTGAAACCTCCGAAATTCGCCTGCTGAGGTTGGCTGGGGGTGGTTGTTACTGCAGGCGCATCTGCGACAGTTGATGGTTTTTTCTGCGCTTCGTCGCTAGCACCTTTCGCTGATAGCTTAGATTTGGCTAAGCTGAAGGCGTCAGCAAAGTCCTTTGCATCTTGGGCTGTTTTAAACCGAGCAGCCAGTGTTTCGACCACAAGCTCCTCATTGGCGTAATCGTTGGCCGACCAGATGAACGCGCGATCACTGCTGGGAAAAGGCTTCAGCTCCATATCGGCGGACAAGTGATGGTTGGCGCACACTTTGTGCACTTGGTCGCGCCTCATTAAGATCCTCACCGTCTGCAACTTGGGGTCAAACAGGATCTTCAGATCGCCAATGCCCCTTTCCTTCCACTCATTTGAATTGTTTTCGGTGACAAACCTGTAGAGCTTCGCTCTGCTGCTGAACAGTTCGGTTTCCGTCTCTTCGCCTGTGATTATGGCCACTTTATCCGGAAGCGGCACAATCGGCTGGAAGTTAGGCAGTGGGTCATATTCGACACTTGGCGACGAAACATTGCTCAATTCACTCGAGTTCAAGTTGGCGTTGGAGGTATCTGGAGTGCAATTGCTCTTATCAGCCTCGGTTTGAAGGGAAACCTTCGGGGAACCAGTCTGGGCTTTGGCAAGCGGCGACGCAATGGTCAGCAGAGTGTTGCTGGCCCCAAATGATGGCACATTTAATATCGACGGTGCTGCAGTAACAGTATTGCTCATTGTTTGTAATATTTGGAAATTATGGGGCGCTGAAGTGGTTATGGGAAACCGGATAGCGGGTTTTTGCGACGGGCTCTTAATATGCTGAGCTGGGATGGTTACCGATAAGACTGGCTGCGAGACGCTAGTGTAGGTTGGCAAAGGATCGGAAGAAGTGATCACCACGTTCACAGGCGGTGCTCTCGAAGAAACACCACTACTAGAAGACACGGCAGCACCAGCTGCACCTGCAGCAGAACCAAATATATTAAGGCTTTGCCCTAAGAAACCGGACTGCCCAAAGCCGCCCGGCTTGTTTGCCTGGCTCGCTGACGCTCCCATACTGGCACCGAACGCGGGGAGAACCTGGCTAGAAGCCGAGAAAGGTGTCGGCAAGTCTTTGGGCGGTCCGCCGAAAATCGAGAGCTTAGGCACATCCTCTGCATGTTGTACGGCTTGGGGCGGCGGTATGGAATTCAAGCCAGCCTGACCAGCTCTCATGCTTGAAATGAGCGGTTGCGTCTGAGGCATCAGATTGGGATAGGCAGCGCCAGGAAAACCGGGCATAACCGGAGTTAATTGCTGCGGGTCAGCATGTGGTGGCGGCATAAACGGTAAACCTCCAGGTTGTCCCAGTCCCAAAGCACCAAACGAATAGGGCATAAGAGGATAAACCCCTGGGTAAAACGCGGGGTTTCCATAGGGGGGCAGATTAGGAGCAGCAGCCTGGGGCTGCTTTGGGTACCAGTTGTTAACAGCAGGATTGATGTTTGCCTGCGCCGACCCATCATCGAAATCTAGGTAGCACAAATCGTCGACATCCAGCTTATTTTCATCCTTTTTCATATCTCTAAACTCTCGTTTCATTTCTTGGACCATGTCGGTTAAGTTCTGAAGGCGATCGTCGACTGAGTGAGTCAAGTCGTCAACCAACTTCTTCACTTCACGAATACTACCTGAAACACGTGCCGTTAGTATGAGTGTTGTAAAGAGATTTTCGAATACGCACTGTCGTATGTTACTTTATCGCTTGTGGTTGCTGCAAGGCGGTTCACCGCTTCTTTAAATCCCCGAATTTCGTTTGTTAAGGTTTTTTGCAATTCGGTCATGTTTCGGTTCTGCTCGATAATAGCATTCATGGAAATATCCTTTGAAGCTATCAGTTGACGAATCTGAGCGTCCAATCTACCAATGAAATCAAACCAATTAAATATAAATAACTACCCAAGAAACAGCGGGTTGTTTATTATACCTTTCCGGACTCGGCCTGGCTTCCTGCCTAGGAATGCTCAACTTTAAGGGCGTTGAGTGCATTTGCGTGGTATCATTTTTGCTAGTCACATCCCGTATATTGCGAAAACTAGACTGATGATGAGTGTATGTACTGACATATTGCTCGTAGACAGAATCGTCTGAAACATTCTCTTCAGACATGCCTAGAGAAAAATTAGTTGAATTGCAAACTGGTTTGACCTTCCTCAACTGCATACCATCACATTCATTCCGGTTTGCGCAATCCGGATCTATTCTAGATAAAAGTGTATCGATTTTTTCCAATTCCGTGTTCAACTCGATGTTCAAAGGGTGGTTCCTATCTTGAGACGGGTCCCTCAAGCGGTCCAAAGTCAAATACAAACTATCACGGGCCCTAAAATAAACAAAGAGTTATCATAAGACAAACAACCGTCGTTACTCCGATCTTACTTGGACAAGAAGATAATGTTTTGACTCCTCATTTCCGACGTAACATTTTCTTTGCTGTGATTCGTTTTAGAATCAGCCATGTGCTTGTACACTTGGGCCTGATAGAACGAGGCATATGGATCTTTCAGTCCATCAAACACGTGCAGGGCTTCTTCATATTCTTTCTTCTTCATGTGCTGTAATCCTACAATACAAAAAAATTACATTCAGAGTCACTTAATTGCGGCGACTTACCAATAAAGAGTTTAGCTTTCTCGATGTAAGCAGCAATTTCATCTTGGGTTAAGTCCTTGTTGCTTTTTAGCTCAAAAAGTCTGTCCTTCGGATACACGACGCAATATTCATTTTTCAACGATACTAGCAAGAACAAGGCGGTTTTCCAATAGAGCTCAGCCCTGCAACAAGAACAGTTAACATAAAACATTCAACCGCTCTGGACGCCAACTTGCCTGGTAGCATTTGCATCAATTTCCGATTGCTTAGTTAAACTGCTTAATCTTTCAGCGAAAATAGAGGCCAAATCGATCAGAAGTTTTACGTCCAGGCCGTGGCTTCCAACGCACCGAATCACCTGTAATCCCGAAAATAAAACATTATAACGGGAAAACCTTTTGAATGTACTCTTCAACCCACTTCTATGCCTTTAACCAGAGTTAGTCGTATGTCTCCCATATCCGAACTATATTCCTGCTTATACACTTTGTAAGCCGCTAAAATAAATTTGGACTGCCTTAGTGAACCCAAATGTCCAGTGATGGCTACTGGTAGAACGGCCGGCCTGAAATTGCACAAAAATACCCATTGGTATGCTAAACACCAAAACTCGCGCTAATATCAACCTGTCTCGATGGTGGTATGTTAAGCTGCTATCAGCGTTTTTGAGTTTAGATTGTACACAAAGAGCAGCGCAATATATAAAACTCTGGATATCCAAAACGTTTAACGTTTCTGCTGCACAATTGTTCAAGTTTTTCACAGTGTATTGCAACCTATCGAATGATTTTAGGGAAAAGTCGGACAGACTTTTGTAGTTGAGCGCCAGCCAGATGTGGTGATGGAGCGAACTTGGATTCATTAACTGGGCAACCTGTAGAAGAGTTTAGCCGATTCACCTTAGAATGAAGAATAACGGCGGGAATTTTTACCTCATTATAGGACACAAGGTCTTGATAATCTGGCAGCCGTATCACTGGTTCTACGGTGGAAGATACGAAAAAGCTGGTTTCCAATTTCAGCAAATGCTCACGCTTCACAAACATCTGAAACCAATCGGGTTGTACATATCCACGGTTAGAAAGGAGATGCAATTTTTACCCTCTTAAAAAATTGCGTGCGCCATAAACCTGTTGAATATTGCTTGGCTCTTTCGATCAGAATATTCCTCCGGTCCTTAGCTAATCCCACTAGAATATTCCCTGCTTGTGAGCATCTGAAAAAACCAACCCAGTGTTTCAAAATTCTTCCCCGAAACTAAATGTTACCTAAATGAGGCCTCTTTATGCCATCCTGCAACCATCAGCCGCCGTTTTTCTTGCAAGTTGTTGAACCACACGCCCTGAGTATCCGGAACTGGAGTGTTGTATGCAGTGAAGAGCAGTGGAAGGATTACATCTTGAATCTAAACGAGCAGTGTTTTGGATGGGTAACATATAAATAAAAAAAAAACTCGACTCATTACTTCTTTGTGGACCAACAGATCCTGTTTGGCTTGCTTTAGAGCCAAAACGCTCAAATGGAGATTGAGCTGCGCTTCATGATGGTTGAGAAATTCCCGTTTCAAGCTCTGATCCGGGCACAAGTCGATATTTTGGCTGGCTTTCAACAAGGATTGATCGAAATTGAAAACTGCTGTAACATAATCAGCGGTGGTTTTAACATTCTCGGTTAGATCGCTAAGAGACAGGCCCGCAAGCTTCTCCAGCACTGATGCATGTATAAACCAAAATTCCCAAGTGAGTTGTTCGGAGTCCCGAACTTCTTGTTGATACCTAATATAGAAGCATGGCTTATTTTAACGATTTATTGAGTTCGGATTTCCTTACTTGACCATCACTTCCGCGAACGTTTCATACCACGAAATGCTGTTCTCAAATATGCCCAATTTCCTTTCCTCGGCATCAGTGGCATGCTTATAGGCTTCCTTCACATTATTGTTTCCCAAGTAGTGTTTTAGCAATTTTACTCGGCGAGTGATGTCTGTTGGCCTATTAACATTAATTCGTTGGAGTGAATGGACTAGTGGGACTTTCCAATGCAATAACTACCGTACCTGTCTTCTAACTCTTTAAGCAAAAAGGTGGTAACAACATTGGAATATTTATTTTCAAGTGATAGCAGCTTCTCCTGCAGGCTGGACACTACTGGATTGTGGAGATCCCTGCACTGAGCCAACTGGCAGAAATGCTTGGCGCTGGCACTATTCAGACTTGCATCGTCCTGTACCAGCAACTCACACACTGGAATAGTTCAGCTCTTTAGTCGGACGAATTCGACCAAATAAAACCGAACACCGACCTTTAATCACCAAATTGTCCTGTTTGGGGTTTAGTAGCAAACTGGTTTGGTATGCCTCCAAGGCACCCTGAGATTTCCCAAGCTTTTCCAAAGCTTTCCCCAGCAGGGCGTGCCCTTCTGACGATTTGGGTTTCACACTCAAGTAGGATGTAACGTAACGCACAGTATGCTCGTAGTCGCCGACATTAAAATACAGTTTGGCAAAGGAAAAACATCGAAGATTTCTCTGAATGTAGACAAAATATCGACGTTTAATAATGTAGCAAGGATGGGGTAGCACAACAATCGTGGTGCCGCTTAATTGATCTTTTTTATCGGAACCAAAAAATTACAAAATATGACGGTTTCCGAGGTTAAACGCCCGCTGTATAATGGGTGTAAAAAGGTCCCAAATGGTAAGTTTCCCGATCGAACTGAATTTGAACTACAACGAATCTAAAGTATCAATCTAGTCGGACTTCAGTACTTGGGATCACTGTCCAAGTGATAAATGAGCATTACTATGGGTTTATCGCTTACTAGCTATCAGGGGCAAAAGAGCTACTACTGGGAAACTTAATTAGGTCGCCTTTGCAGTATAATTTGAAAAAAGCCGGCCAAAGTAAACTGAAATCAATGAGCTTATCAGTTCTTACCTCGGTGTCGTTGCTAACCCTTTTGAGGCTGTTTGTTACATGCTTGTCGACTTCCTGCTTGGTCCTAAACATCTTGAGTCGTGGATGGATAACGTGCAAGTAGAATTATCAATTATTTTTGTCTTTTAGAGCACTGAACACCACATTTAATCGGCAAATAAGTCAGAGCTTTCTACGTCTCCAGTGGAAAACGTTAAATATGGCTGACAGGGTTGACAGAGAATTCGCTTGACGTCCATTTGAGTTTTTTAGTGCCAACGTAAAAACGGGCCTCCGGACTGGAATTTATCATCAGAAAAAATTGGGAATTTATTTTGTCTGTAACTTTTCAATGTAGATTGGGGTTTTTATAAATTCATTGACTTTTTATAAATTTTCCACGAGTTTATTTTTAATCTAATGAGCGCAATTCGCTAAAAATAGAATCCCCCAAAAAATGGACTTTGTGGGGATTTCGCTATGTTGCCATATGTAGTTTCAGACGTCAGCAGCAGATGACAATATCCAATATCCTAACCAAATAACCAATTTTTTGTTTTTTTTTAATTCTTGTCTTGCAATCTATGCAAATAACGAAAGATAGCAAACGATAATCCAAAGTGCTGTTCATTTGTCCAATAAGTTTAAGTTCGGCCATCTCTGCAATGTCCAAAATCACAACCCTGCGAGGCCTGATCCAAGAGCTCCGTTATGCCATTCCAGATTCAGGGCTTAAAGACAACTTAGCTTTTCAATATATTGTAGAACAGTACCGAAAATATAACACAACGGATCAACAGTTGTGCAAAGCCCGGTATGTAATTACATTCAGCTCGTTAAACGAAATTAAACTACCAGGTCTTCTAGAGTTGCCGATGCTCGCAATTCTGTTTCACTCTAATAAATATGTTTCAGGGAAGAAATGGACTTCATAGCAAATAGCTATCTGTGTTACTTGCGAAGCTCCCGTTTGTCACGGCAAATCCATGACGAATTCCACGGAAAAGGGGAACGATCTGTTCAAGATACGGCCAGAATGGTTGGATTCAAGCTCCCCCATGACCCTAAATAGGTGGGTTCAGTAAACTAGTCTCCAATGTTGTATAGTGTTCATAGTAAAGTGATGATATTCAGACTCAAAGCCATCAAGTCAATTCGTTGTTTATCGCAAAAAGCCCTTTAGCTTTAATTGAACTGACACAATAATCCGTCCGTCTGTCTTAATTTTTAGCAGCTGTTAAAAAAATGAGGATATCATAATATGTATTTATTCACTCGTATAAAACAATTGCAGTTCTCCATTGATTTTAGGTTTTGTCACTGCTTTTTTATTTCTACAATAAACTACAAACAGGGACATGTTGCCTCGCACAGCGGACACACTTTATCAAGTTCTGTATAGCGTCTATTTTGTAAAACAATAAAAAAGGTATAAAACACGCGATTAATAAAACGGTAAATGTTCAGTACAAATTAACATAAAATTAAAAATATTTACATACAAATTCACGTGCCGAACTAAAGGACAATACTGTGGATTCATACAGCTGCAACTGTTTGATGTGTCGCTGGTGTACTTTGCTTTTGGGATTTTTATATCTGACTCCCTTGATGGCTTTTCGTAGAATATAATGAAGCCACAGTATGTTCGAATAAGGCATAAATGCTGTCCAGTCATTTCTGCAATCACAACATTAAAAGTAGCTGGGAGTGCATGCAAAAGGAACAAACTTACTTGTTTCTCTCCTTCATCAGTCTATAAATGTCAAATTGATAGTCACCTTCAGATAAAAACAGATCGGGGTCCTTTCCGAGATCAGTAAAAGTCGTCACACCATTGTGAGTCATTCGAGATAGAGTAAAATCGATTAGTGTAACTTCAACTCCATGGGAAGGGCAACTGTGGGTTTTTCCTAAAAAACGAAACTTCTGCCACTAAAACTACAGAATCAATTAGCCTGTTGTTACCTTGCAGTTTATAATTCAGTGTCTTGGTTTTGGGCACTTCTTTCAGTAAAACGTTGCCCCAGTGCAGATCGCGATGTTCGAACTGCAGCTGCTCTTCGGCTATAGCCAGATTGTAAGCCACCTAAAAACAA